CTTCTCCATGACATGAGTGAGGCTAAACAGATGAAAGAGAGCTTCTCTCACAAAACCTTCTCTCTCACTGTAGCGCCGCAGTGCCTCACAGATCTGAGTCTCATTAGCTTCTCCAGTCACCTGATGGCACACAGAAGATACTTCAGCAAACCTGATGTTTTCGCTTTTTGTTTAGTGCCTATTAATGATCATTCTATACCTACCTTTAGATTTCCTTCTCCTGATAGGAAGTCTGAAAAACCAGCATCTGTGGCCAGAAGTCCCACAAAGGTCATTCCAGGCCTCTCTTCAACAAATGCCTTAACAGCTGCATCTGTCACCTGTAACATTCACAGATATAAGAAATTGCTCGACTTTAAAATATGTGTGCTTTGACTGCGGTTTAACCAAGAAACAAATAAAAATATTAAAGCAGATGAACACACCTGTTTCCTCCCTGAGACATCTAGGGAAACAAGGGCGGGCAGAATCCCCGGCTGTCCGAGAAGTTGACGAGCCACGTCAGAAGTAAACTGTTTATCATCACTAATGTCCAGGTGCTGCATGTGCAAAGGTTTACACACACACAAACAGACATGGCTTATGAAACCTCAGAGATTGAGTTTTCTTAAAATGTTTTTGAAAAAACCAAACAAAAACAGGTTTAATACTAGACACACAATCAAACCACTAACCTGCAATACATTCAACTGGCCTATGACTCCCAGCAGCTGAGCAGTGCTCATCTCCAGCCTTTTCAACTGATGCAGTGTCAGTGAGCGCAGCCGCTCCTTCAGGCCCAGCAGCGGGCTCAGGTTTGTGACTGAAGTATTAGAAAGATCGAGGCTCTCCAGCCGAGGCAGGGAACACACATCGCCTAGCCCAGAGTCGTAGAAGTCTACATTGGCTAGAGAGAGGGAACGCAAGCCCTGGAGGGCACTGAAGCGATACCAGATTGGTTCTTCCAGAGAGGACATGGTGAGGCCTGTAAGGACAAGTCGCTGGAGGGACTCCTGCAGGGAGAAAGTTTAAATTACTTTCATACTGTGGAAAGAAAGGGCAGTTATCCACAAAAAATTGACACACTCTCACATTACCTGACAATATTTATTAGTGGCCAGCCCCTGCAGGATATCAGGAATGGTAAGGTCTGCATTGACCCGGGCAGCATCCAACTCCAGCAATCTGTGAGGGCACAGGGCTTTCTGGAAGGCCTCTGCAGAGATCCGTGCAGTACGGATGCAGGCCCGTCTCAACCGCAAGTATTCACAGTTCCGAAACACACCCACTGTGCTGTCGTTCAGCAGACCTATAGCAGAGTGAATTTATCTTTCTAAATCAAGCACAACCTTACACAACACTGGCTTTTTACCCAGGGCAAGGATTTAGTTTACTGGTCATCAGTTTGAAGAGGCTTTCACTTCAAATATTTCCCCCAAGTGCAAGTTAAGATTTTTCATCCTAATGAGTATCATGGTGACCTTTTATGATCCAATGAATAATGTATGTGTGTAGAAACTAGAGCGCTAAGCTGCAGCAATACTCTTGACTATTCGTAAACGTCTTTAAAGGTTTACCTTCAGTGGCCATTTTGGCCAGCAGCTGGTCTGCCAGCTCTTGCGGGAAGAGTACAGCCTCCCTGAAACAGAAGGAGCCATCAGGGCGCTTCACGCAGAAACACTCCAGGTTTTGGCTCACATAGGTGAGGCACAGGTCTGTCAGAGCCGCTGGAGACGCCTCATCCTGAAAACCAAGAGGTGTGTTGATGTGGATGCACCGAGTACAATTTTCTACAACTGTCAAAGCAAATAAATCACCTGAGACTTACCGTGTTTAGGAAACTGCAGGCCATGGCAAAGGCTTTAAAAGAAAATATATTTTTAGCTTGTACAACCGAGACTTGTGATTATATAACCAGCCTGCTCGTCGTCTCGGACACCTCTTTCCCTTTCAGTTTACAGTGTCCACCTGTGTGAGAGTCTGAGGAGCTGCTGATCACTCTGAGAGGTACCAGGAGAACGTGACGACGCACGAACACAACGGAGCTTAACGGGGAGCCAGCTAGCTAGCTCACTTGGTGTCTCGGTGGTAGAAAATCACCCCGCGAGCAAAAACGTCGAAAGCTTACGGATGCGGGGGAATTCATGTCGACCACCTGCTGAAGCGACCGAAAGACTGAACCTAGAAACCTGTTTGGCATGTAGTTTCCACTGTGAGCAGTTGGATCTATTTTTAACTAGAGCGACTAGACAGACAGTAAACAAAGGTCATAGCACCGGAAGTACATTAACGAAGGGGGGCTGGACTACGGAAGCCCGCAAGGAAGGGTTACAAAACCAGGAAGCGAACAGCCGAAGACAAACGTGACCGCGTCCATCTGCTTTTCAAAGAGACACTATTATACCATCAAGCACACTTTGCTCATATAATGACTTCACATTTAGCGGTAAGCATCCAGATAGACCTTTGCGTTTTGGGAAGAACTTTTTCAGCATCGCATATCAAAGTCAGTCATCAAGGTCAAGCAGCAGCTGTGGACGCCGTGAGGAGCTGAGCACATGTGATTGTTGCAGAGGTGAAACTAGTTCAAGTAAAGCGGAGAAATGGCTGGACTTATAAATTTTGAAGACGAGAAGGAAGTGAATCAGTTTTTGGATAATTTAGGCGTGGAGTACAGCTTTCAGTGCTACAAGGAGAAAGATCCTGAAGGTAGAAGTTTCTGAGCTGTTCACAGATCGGTGGTGCTGAAACACATGGTAGTTATGCAGTTCTGCTTTCCTCACTCTTTGCCCCCTGTTTCATGCTTTTAGGGTGCCAAAGGCTCGCTGACTACTTGGAAGGGGTCAAGAAGAACTACGATTCTACAGCACAAGTGCTCAAACATAACTGTGAGACGCATGGGCATGGAGAGAGCTGCTATAAACTCGGTGCTTACCATGTCACCGGCAAAGGTGGATATTTAACCTCCTTATTTATCTTTTCTGAAGTGTTAAATACTAAACACTATACTGAAGGCTTTGAGTTTCTGTTAGACTTTTATATCTACCCTGCTACATTTCAATGTGAAATCGAAATATTGTGCCATTTTATTTTATTCAAATTAAGATTTTATAAGAAAAGCTCATGAAAGGGCAACCACTAAGCCTAACTGGTCCGTGGTTCCTTTAGCTGTCACAGTATTTTGTGTCAGCACAACTGTAAAAGCTGAAAAGTTTCCAGGATAAGCTTCTGAAGTGATGACCTATTGAAGCAACTGTGCATAATATAGTGCACATATTATCACCAGTCATTTAAGTACTACTTGTAATTTTGATCCTTTGATACATTTTGCAGCTTGTTACTAGCATGAATGACCTCTAAGGTTACTTCTACTTAAGTAATGCCATTACAAAATTCTAAGTCAGTCCCCTAATCTTTTTTTTCTCCACCAGGTGGAGTCACCCAGTGTCTAAAAGCAGCCTACTCTTGTTTTCTGCACTCCTGCAATTCTGGAGGAAAGAAGTCTGTAGACGCTTGCCATAATGTTGGTCTTTTAGCCCATGACGGACAAGCTATGGAAGGAGGACCTGACCTGAAAGCAGCTCGGCAGTACTATGAGAAGGCCTGCGCAGGTGGATTCGCTCCTTCCTGCTTTAACCTCAGCGCTTTGTTCATTGAGGGCAATTCCAAAGGGGTGGCATCAGATATGGCTCTCGCTCTAAAATACGCTAACAGGGCTTGTGAGCTGGGACACGTGTGGGGCTGTGCCAATGCAAGTCGCATGTACAGACTTGGGGATGGTACAGAAAAGGACGAAAAGAAAGCAGAGGAGCTGAAAAATCGAGCAAGGGAGCTGCATGGTTTGGAAAAGGAAAGGCAGCTTAAGTTTGGGGAGTAGCACACTTTTGTTGAATTATCGTTGTTTTGGTTTAGATTATTTGTTAGATAGTTTGTTTCAATAAACCCACCTCGTTCACAGGGTTCAAAGATTGAAGATAATGTCTATTATTTTTAAAAACATGATTAAGTGCATCAGTACATTCAAAACATTTGGAAAAAAAAATAAAAATGGTACATTCATCTCATTTTTGTGCAAGTGTTGATTTTTTTCCCCATGTTTCTGTGATTTGCAGTGTATAAATGACTACACATGAGCCTATAAAGTTTGAAACAAATATACCCATCAGATAAAAAAGGTTTAGATCACTTTATTTTAGTTATATCATTAATATCATTTCAATTAGTTCTCATTTTCCCCTAAAGTCTAATTTTTTTTTGTTATTTCACACCTAGTTTTAGTGTTGCTTTGAAGATTTTATATTAAGCTTATACTATACTAAGCAGAGACGTCAAACATGTGGCGTGGGCCAAAACTGCCCCACTAAAGGGTCTAATTCAACCTGCCCAGATGCCATCGCAAAGTGTGAAAAGTGCTGAGAAGTCATCACTAACTCCAGTTGTATCTCATAAAATGCGCCATTTCCACTGTGGGGACACAAACACTAAAACTAGGGTGAAAAAAAAAGTCTTCTCAACAATTTTGAAAAGCACAATGGTGTCTTGTCCACAAGAGGGAGTCAGAGGAGAACCCATAAACTTTTAGCCCTTTTGAAGCCAACCAGCCCTTCAAACAGAAGTCCGGCACTACAATAGAGGGCGGGCTGTGCGAATCCCATCTGCCAAGCCTTTAACTGGCAGTGCATTGACAACCTGCGGATGATATAAACAGTAGCAAAAGGTCTCCGTACATTAAGAGTTACTGCAGAGGATAAAGGGCAGATCGGCCCACTGTGCACCCGGGAAGCTCCGCCCGTTAGCGGCGTCTCCTCTCCTCCTCAGCCCTCATTCAAAACAGAACACAGCTGTTGCGAGGCGCATCGTCGTGTCCGGGAGTGTTAGCCTAACAAAAACGGTTAGCAGCCTGCTTTCCGCTGATGTGCCCGCTGGAATACCAGAAGAAGAAAGAGCAAAACGGCGCACTTCGGTGAGTTACAGTTACAGAACACGACGGGACAAAGTTTGCCATCGTTAGCGACACAATTGCAAAGAAATCCCTTCTCATCCGTCGCGATAGCTAGCTAACGTAGCGTCAAGCTTGACGAGCGGTTTGGGTGTGTTTGTTTTAAAATGCAGGATGCTTATCAAAGTAAATCGGCATCCATCGCGAGGAGCGGACGCGGAGATACTGGAGCAAAGCGCGAGTGAGCCTGGTCGTCTTTTTTTTGTAACGCAGACTCTCTGTAGCTGGGTGCAGCATTGTATTTTAGCTATTATATTCTTATCTCATCCACTCACGTGAATATACAGGTCGCCCCACCGCACACATAAATACACACATCAAGAAGCAGTACCAAGGAGTTTGGCTAACAATAGATCAACGTGCAAGCTAGTTGACAGTAAATGCATCATGCTAATTCACATGGAAACCTATGAGAAGAGTGGGGAGAGCTAGGTAGTTAGCGATTAGTGTATCTGACTTTCTGTGTCGGGGCAGGGAGTTTATGTCGACCCGTTTGTGCTGCTAAACCAGCACAGCTTACTTAGCAGCCACGGGCCACTGCAGGCTCTCTGCTCGGGATGGCTCATTGGCGGTGAACCCCCTGCAAAGCACCCCTCTGGGGAGTGCTTTGGGTGTGGTATGGGTTCACCCACGAACAATACAGTGCACAAGCAACGTCTATCTTGTCTTTTCTAAAGCACGTCTTAGTTTAAGAATAACCACAAAAGACGAACAGGGAGGTTATTTGGAGTCTGAGAAAAGGGGGCAACCAGGGGTTCTCAACCTCACTGATAGGAAATTTTGGAAGTGCAGTTGGTAGGAGGTTTAAATCAAGCAGTTACATCTTATCTTCCACACTGAAAACCAGCCAGCTGCTTTGTATGTTCCAAGTAACTGTCTAGCTCCGTTGATGTAAAGTGGTTGTGGATCAAGGCTGTCTGTGTGGCAGTGACAGGCTTCAGCTATAGTACGCCAAAATTTAGTGTGTAGATTTGGCTCACAGCTGAAATCCCTTTTCCAGCATGCTTGATTTTTTATATTTCAGTCCTCTTTCATTTGAGAGATTGGGAATATCCAGAGGTAAGAATAGAATCCACGCACGAGTCACTATTAAACAAAGCCTCCCTCTGCTCAGTCCTGTGCAGCACAGTCTTTGTGAGCGTCCTCTGTGACCCTTTGCTGTTGCTCGCCTCTCTCGCCCTGTTTTAAAGGACTCGAAGGAATGTTCCATATGATATTTGGTGTGGCTGTGTGAGGCTGCTGTTCCCAACACTTAACATATGACCCGGAGGTTACTGGTTCACGCACATGACTAGCATGCCTTTAGAGTGCTGCAGTGTCGCATTATGGAGAAATGACTGACAGTCCTGTTTGCCTTAGTCCTTTGTAACAGTTAAATATATGCAGAAGGTTTTTTATCCATTGGGTAGTATTACTGTGGCAGTCATGCCAGTTCCAAGACCATAGTCACTGAGTACTTACAGTTAATGTTGAGCCTAAAGGAAGAGAAAACTTTGGCATTTGGAAAACTATTTCCTTCCAAATGCCAGAGATCCTCAGACTACCAAATGTCAAAGAAAGAAACTGCTTGGAATTCTTTTTGGTTTTTGACTTCGTTTTAATTCAAAGTAAAGAAAGGGGAAGCATTGAGAACAGTGAAAGTTTAGTCTTCAAGACAGTAGTCTTGTGTGTTTGAAGGGTGCATCTGAATCATTTAGTCAGCTCCTCTTAAATGTTGGGCTTAGTAGGATTGTGTTTGCCTTGACTGCCATCGGCCTATAAGTAAAAGGGATTTTCATGGCTCAAACCAGCCCTTTCGGAGTGGGGGTGGGGGGCAGCTGGCTATGTGTGTGAGCATGATTTTGTATGCAAAAAGTCTGTTACCTTACTTAACAGAAATCTAAGTATTTCCTGTTTTTTTTTTTTTTTTTTTTTTTTTTTTTAACCATTTGAAAACCTTAAATGTATTTTAATGTTGAGTAAACTCAACATAAAACTTGACGTATTTCTAACCAAGAAATTATTATTATTATTATTATTATTATTATTATTATAGACTTGGTGATTTTCCCTTTAGTTGAAGGGCAAATTCTCTGTGACGGGGAGATATTTTTTTCTTTTTAATTTTTTTTTATATATGTAGCAAACACCCCGAGATTACATTCACTGATGACAGTGGCTCGTGTTCTTCTTTTGTTTGTATCGGGGGTCCAGTTTAATAAATTTAAATGAATTGATCCAAGATAATGTAATCAAGGCCTGGCAGTTATTTATTTAACTTTATAACAAAGATAAATTTCTTTGGCACAAGAAGTCAGAATAAATCATTACAAAAACAATGCAAACTAACAAAATCTGTATCTGCACAGCCTAACGGCTGAAATGTTTTAATCATTGGTGTCAGTCCAGAATTTCACAATCAGTGCATCCCTAGGGCTTAGGAATGTAATCCAATAAAATACAGTTGCTCTACTATTCTACCTTACATGGAGCTTTGCATTTGTCCAGAGGAACACAACTCCCATCTGCAACCCTATTTACAAAATGCTGTATTTAATGATTATTGGGAGTTCGTTCTTTCTTTCTTTCTTTGTCAGTGGTTAATCTGATTCTTTGTGTCTTTCTGTCTGTATACAAAAATATCATGTTGGTTTCAGTTTATATATTCCACTTAACCTTGTGCATTAGCAAGCTGTATGCCAAAAATTTAAACAAAGTGCCTTTACAGTCTGAGCGAGAAAATAAGTTATACTGAGGATTTTAACATCATCACATACACTTCCATTTACAATCACTGATATTCAGCGACTCTCTGTAATGTAATTTGAGCCCCAGCTATTTTTTAGAAACTGTCCCTTGGTAACTCTACATGCCACCTCCGCCGTCTGGGCCAGGCTAATCCCAGAAATGCTTCATCTACGTGGGCCCATCTGTTCAGCACTGCAGCGTAACTGCTCCGTCCAAGACTTGCAAATGTGATTAGTCTGAGATTACATCTGTGTGAGTGAAATAAAACTCCCCTCTCAGAATCGGAGCCGTGTGTTTACAGGAGAAAGGGCTAAGCATTGTAGAGCTTTTGCGTCATCAAGTGTAACCCCTGGTCTTTCTCAGATTGTGTGTCTCTGCTCTACATTGCGTCACGTTGGCTGCTGTTTATGTGTAACGTTCCTCGACGCAGCCTGCATGCGTCTGTGTAAGAAAATGCAAAGTGCAGCTTTCTAAATGAATAAGCAGTCGGTTTGTGGGCTCCTTCTACATATTCTAGGAGCGTTTTGGTCTGCATCTCTCCTTTTCTCTCTCTGACCTCCAACCAGTGCCGTTGCTCAGTTGCCAGGGTAACTTTATGCGTGTGTCTGGCACATCCATTCAGCGCAGATGGAACTGCGAAGTCACATGTCGTCACACTCTTCCTCTGATGCCTCCCCAGCCCTGGCACCGTCACTGCAAGTACAAATTTGGTTATGTGCGTGTTCATTTTCAGCATTGCATGCAGACGCCACAAAGCCACCAAAGATCTGTGCTACTACTGCGAGTTATATAACAGGTCGTTGTGCTTGACAAGGAACACTGATAATAATATATTGTGTTTTTGATAAACTTTTCTATGCACGAGGTGTTTCGAATGTTACTGGCAGTTAGTCGATGAAGTGGGTGTTGTGGATATGAGCTTGACTAGTTGCCTGCGTACATCACGGCGCGAGAAGAAGATAAGAGACGAGGATAATGCATGCAGAATCTCAGAGGCAGGCACCGTGTCTCACTGCGTAGGATTGAGCAACGTGACTATATTTTCTCCCTTTGCTGTATACCCAACAAATTTTGAGGAAGTCATGTAAAAGTGTCTCTTATTGTTATGAGTGTGTTTGCCATGTGGTTCCTGCTCTGTTGTAATCACAGCTCTTGTTTAGGAGAAGTAGAGGCCACTGGGGGCCGGCGGACACAGGCAGTATTGAAACGGAAACTGGCTGGTGGTTGTATCTCTCACATACACACCCCGCTAAACACACGGTACAATAGGCCGAGCAGCTGCTAGAGGCCTTGAGATTTAACCACTCATGGGAGTGGCTAACACATGAAAGACTAGGCTGGTGTCCACCCCTCTCTCAACACTACTAGTGCCTTGCTTCTTAGTTGTGTAACTTTGCTCACTTTCTCTTTCACTATGCTTTCATGTTTTGAGTGGACACGACGCTATTTTAGTTCTGCCTCGTCAGCCTGTATTTCATTCTTCCAGTTATCAGGCAGCAAGACTTACAGTACCTTGTATGTTGTATTACTTTCATTTATCTAGCCCCACCACCTCCACTTCCTGCTTGCTTATGTCTTCTAAATATGAAGCTCGTAAACATGTCTATCACTTATCATGTTGAGTGTGACTCATTTTATTGATTTTGATTTTATCGGCCTGTCGTAGATATAACTGTATCAGAGTATATCATATGAAGATTTATTTGTTTGTTTGTTTTAAACAGAACATAGGGCATAAGTGGACACTTGGTAATGTAAAAATCCCATAGCTTATCCACTGGAGTGCACTCTGACTGTTGCTTACAGTATGCCTCCTTACATTGCTAGAAATTGAATAAACAATAAGCTCATCCCTTTTCCTTCTATGAATAAATATTATGCTATGAAGATAAGACTTAACAGGCCACAAAAAGTTGAATTTAGCTCTGCTACTAATCGGCTGGAGTCTTACTGATGGTGCTGCTGAGCACTAACATTTTTAACCCGTTACTTGACTATAATCATTATATATTCTTAAGTAACCTGAAATAAATTATTAAAGACAACTCTCATTTTAAACTTTGGACTTTTAGGAAATCTGGTAAAAAAGATTTCCTAAAAGGTTTCCTTAGTTTTTTGCAGTAAAAGAAATTTCCACCAGAGTGTCGAGACTTGCCCGTTGTGATTGCTGCATCACTGCAGCTGTGACACAGCATTTGGTGTTGAATATGTTAAACTGATGATCGTCCTATTTGTTTGTGCCATCTTGCACTGCATGGATATTTAAGGGTACATCCATATGTACAAGGTTTTTTTTGTTTGTTTGTTTGTTTGTTTGTTTTTTAATGTTAAAAAAAGTGCACATTTCCAAAGGTCTTTATCCTGGCAGGAGTTTTCCAAAAGCTTAGTTTTCACTAATCCTATATTCTGTTTATATGTGGATGAAGGCTAAAATGCATTGAAAAAGCAATGTTGAGTAAAATACCGGTGCATATGTGGATGTAGACTCATTCTGGCCTTTCTTGAGGCACAGACTATTGATTTAGCAATATAACGGCACAATATTAGTTCTCGTAAACCATTCTAGTATGGGACTGAGCTGAGATGCTTTCATCTCTCTTTTGCTATGCTTTGAGTATGTTGATCGTATTTTTAATAAGTCACCCTAAAGCTGAAATCGTCAAAGTAAGTGTTGCAGGTGTTGAATTATCAGCTTAAAGTTTTGAAGATGTTGACTTTTTCAGTATTTCCAGTTAGCTGTTGCCAGTTGGAATACAATATAAGAAATCTGAAGTGCAACCTGTTAAATCAATAATCAGACAGGCTTTTGCTTTTTGAGGTACGTTTTCAGTGCCTTTTGTCTATCTCTTGATCTGTGTGAATATACTTCCATAAATATGAGGGATGTATTAATGCTTTAGCTCCTATAAGCTAAATAGGAGGAACAGGAACAAAAATTCAGTTAAAATGCCACCTGAGACACTTTGTTAGTATAATAGTTGTTGTCCATCATATACCAAACTAGCAGGACAAGCCTTAAAATCTGGGTATACACTGTGCCAGCTTTAAAAAAAACTGAATATTTTATTGATGCTTGTAGTCAGCAAAATTAGCAAGTGTGTTTTGCAGAGAGCTGTTGTCACTGATGACACACTTCCTAATTTGAAGTGTGAATCTATTGAAACAGGGTGCCAGTACCAGCTCCAGTATTAGTGCATGCAGCATAAAACAAAGGTAGCTTGTAATAATAACCAATTGCTTAAAGCCCTGCACCTCCACTATGTAACTGCATCAGTAATTTCCATCCACTGTTTGCTCTTCCTGTCATAGAAAGCTCAGCAAGTGAGTGCAGCTAGTGGTTCTCAGTTGAGTTATTTGTTTACATTTGGGTTGCACATCATTAGCGCCTAGCATCTCCCCGTTCAGGCCCTGGTTGTACTTCATAGTGATTTTGCCTTAAGTGATAAAACACTTTTTTTTTTGTTTGTTTCCAACTTAAGTGGGAATAGTTATTATTATTATTATTATTATTATTATTATTTATTTATTTATTTATTTATTTATTTATTTATTTATTTATTTTTGCAAATCATACTTTGTTGCAAGTTGATGAAGTAACTCCCTTTTTAGGCACTAATGCGTCATCACAGGCTGACTTGTGGCTCAGAGACACACCTTGGCTTGTTTCATTGTTGCATGCACTGGGGAACATGAATGCATGGTCTTGCACTCGCAATATCAGTGATATGACATTTTTGTACTGTGTAAATATTTATAGTACTATTATCGTGGACAGTATTACAGTAAAAATCATCCATTCTGAACGCCAAAAAATAATCAAACTTCAGAAAAAAGGGAAAAGCACAGATGTGAAAACCTTGAGTTTTGTGTTAGTTGGAGTTTAACAGCTTGTTAGTCACAAAATTATGTTAAACGGCAAGTGACTTTGAGATATTGAGAAGAGGCGAAAATCCTTTGAGCCTTAGAACAAGATTTTTTTTTAAAAAAACAGTAAAAACTTAATTGTTCACACAAGTTTTGCAATTATTTTTTTATTGAACTTATTTTCCTTTTCACTTCTTTATTCCATGACCAGCATTATTTCAAAACTCATGGGTGTTGGTCTGGGTTCGTGTGTCAGGTTAGAGGCATTTGGAGTCATAAACTCTTGAACTGAGTTCAGGGACATCCTATAATAAAAAGCCTTAGTCTTAAAGGCGAACTTGAAAAAGAGTTATGAGGCTTTTCCACAGTTTTTTTTTTTTTTTTTTTTTTTTTTTTTTT